TCACCAAATTCAGATTCACAAAATGATGGATCTGTGGTCTGGATTCACTATTTTGGTAGATTTCCTCGAGGGGTGCTCCACGAATGGACGTTTCGTATCTCCTCACGAATTTGGGTGGAAATTACTCACATTGCCACCGGTTACACACCCCCTTCCTACGTACCGGTTTGATTCTTTTTCTTCCCACCTCCGACCGCGCCCCTTCTCCTCCCGTCGCGCCGCACCCCTTCTCCTCCCGAGGCAGCCGCGCCGCCCATCCTCTCCCTCCATCCCTCCCCTCCGGTGAGCTCCCCATGGCCAAATCCGGTAGATCCGGTCCTCCTCGACCTCCTGCACCCCTTTCTTCGTCCGCATCCATGGGGAAGGCCGCTCCTAGGGTTGGGCTGTCTCGTCAGCTTTGGAGCGCGGCCAACGGAGCTCCTCCTTTCGGCGTCGCTGCCAGCGGCAGGCCCCCTTCGGGCGTGCCTGGAGTCGCCGCCGGTGGCATGCCCCCTTAGGCAGCCACGGCTGTTCTTGGCCCGGACGGCGCATAGGGAGTCACGGCAGGCGTCGAGCCCGGCATGGCCGACGCACAGGCTACCACGACAGGCCTCCAGCCCGCCATGGCCGCCTCCCAGGCCTCCGCAGCCGGCCACTAGCCCGCCATGGTCGCCGTCCACCAGTTCGACCCGACCGGCCAGCAGGCTACCATGGCCACTGGTGGTTCTTCATCGCAGCAGCAAGTGAGGACACGTCCTCCGTCGACCAACAAGAGGGAAAGAGATGATGAGGTATACATTTCTCTTCTAATTTTTTTTGCAGCAATAATACCGTTGTGGGGAAATCTTGATTTGGGTGATGAAAGAATTGTGGAAAATTAATGTCAGGGTGATGCTTATGGACTGGGTTGATGGTTATACCTCGCTTGTTTGTAACTTGTTCGCCGAACAAGTTAGAAAAGGGAATCAACCAAACACTCATTTGAACAATGTAGGCTTTACCGAGGTGTCTGATAGGTTTTTTCATTCCACCGGAATAATGTTGTCTAAGCAGCAACTAAAAAACATTCGAGGACCTCCATGGTTTATTGGTGGAAAGGTACGGGCTAAAAGCTTCCTATCATATGTCTACCTATGAGAGCCTTGCCATATTTTTATTTACATGTGCTGGAAATGAGTCGAGCCGAAAAGTTCAAAATCGATTCAAGCATTCGGGTGAGACATGGTCTAGGAAATTTGATGAGGTCCTTAACTCTTTTATGGCCATGGCAAAGGATTTTATTAGACCTAAGGACCCCAATTTTCCTACAGTTCATAGGAGGATTAGAGATGATAGACGAGCGTATCCACATTTTAAGGATTGCATTGGTGCTCTAGATGGTACGTATATTCAAGTTTCTCTTCACCCCGATGAACAAGTGAAGTATATTAGAAAAACAGGGATACCCACCCAAAATGTCTTAGCAGTTTGTGATTTTGACATGCGGTTCACATATGTATCCACGGGTCCGTCAAGCGGGATCTATGCATGACACAAGTGTGCTATACAATGCAATCAATGTGGACGAAAAATTCTTCCCACATCCCCCTCAAGGTAATATGAATGAATAATTAATCGTTTATTCTCTTTTGTATGATACAAAATATTAACTTATATTGTTTTCACCATGTTTAGGCAAATACTATGTTGTTGATGCCGGTTATCCTAATCAGCCCGGCTATCTAGCTCCTTACAAAGGTGAAAGATATCATATGCCGAAGTGGCATAGAGGTATAGAACCCAAAACACCTAAGGAAAAATTCAATTGCATTCACTCTTCTATTCGAAATATTATTGAGAGGTCTTTTGGAGTTTAGAAAATGAAGTGGCAAATTCTATACAAGATGCCCAACTACCCGATGTGGAAGCAAAAAATGGTGGTTGTTGCTTGTATGGTCCTTCACAATTTTATTCGTGAGCATGATAGTGAAGATGCGGACTTTGCTCGTTTCGATCGTGATCCTCATTTTGTCCCAACAATACCGGAAAGGTATAACAAATATGCAGTTACATCGGATGGTTCTACATCGAAAGCCAATGCCGCCACTATGGATAAATTTCGTGATGACTTGGCCACGGCTCTTGCTATTGCTTGGAACAACTAGCATGTAATGGAAGACTAGTCCTCATTTTGTGTGTCATGGACCTTTGCTCTCTTTAGATATTTTTATGTATGAACAATTGTAATATTGTTGAGATGTTGTCGTGGACAGGGTTAATTAATCATCTATTTTGTGTGTCAAGATATTACATTTCTATTAAAAAATATATAAAAGACGCGCTCTACATGTATCATATTACGACCCAATGGCAAAATAGACCATTCATAACAAAACAGACCATTCATGAATCTGGATTTGCTATTTTGCCAAACAGTTTCTTAGTAGATCCAAAGTGGATCTCAGATCCACGGTGGATCTAATCCATGATGAATCTTAGATCTAGATTCGCTTTTCCAGTGGCGAATCTCTGCCAAACAGGACCTTACTCTTCGGCTAGCGCTCTGAGCGAATGAAAGGATTTTACGTATACTTTGGGAAGGCGTACGTGCTTTCCGATTGGTGGAAGTGACTGTCACCGAGTAGGAATTTTGTATTGCCAACTAGCAAGCTCTAGCTAGTTGTCGAAGCAAGCATAAACATATAGCCACTGCCCATTGGCCCATTCCGTGCAAAACTACACGCAAGTGCGCGCTTATCTAAATTAATTTGCAGGTAGTGTGGTGGGTACTGCATGCTCCAGTGCTAGCTATCTGATGAGCGATGACGGCTATCACGAGATTCCCTGTTAGCTTTTCCGAAAAGAGAAGCTGAAAAATATATTGTTTGCTAATCTACTGTGAAAGAAAAATACTCTTCCGACGATGCGTGGGCTTGTTCGTCGGATCTCAGACGCATCTCTCTGATCCGTCTCCGTCTCAACGATTACGTGCCTTGCATGCATCTTTGCGCACGTCTCGTTCCGATCGATAGCCTTCTTACTAGCCATCTTTTTTACTTTTGTATTGGAGGAAACCATTTTTTGCCGGCGAGTACGCCCCGCTGTTGATCTGGAAATTTTGGTGCGCAAAGGAGAGGACACGTCAACCATTGTTGTAATAAAAATGGTGTTGTTGCGGCAGCTTTGGTGATACATAAAGACGACACTTCTAATAATCATGAAATTATTGGACAATATAGTCATTTTATTAGTCTCTCGATATCGTCTGAGTTTCGGTTTTGTCCTTGACGACTTCTAAGAACGGCCGTTTCATTCCCCAATTTTACTTTTGGACTTAGTTTCATCTTAGGACTATATCAAAGGTGACTGCTTATTTCAATCCTCAAAATTTGTATTTTCAACTAAAAACGTTAAAGTGGGCTATCTAATTCGATGGCTAAGGACAACGCCAGGGACACCAGCACCTAACGACGACCAATTAGCAGACTAATGGCATCATTAGCGGTTGCTTTTTTTTAACAATTCAGCTCATCATTAGCGGTTGCTAATGATAGAGAGGCATGCTCCTTCAGGTATTTCCAGACAAGTGTGCACTCACCACATGGAATATGCAATCACACATGAGATCGATCAGTACCAGAATTATTCCCACTACTTTTGTATGTGTCCCTTGCCTTCTTTATTACTCTAAACAGATTCTCCATAGATCAAAATATTTGCCGTACCATCTTTTGGAATACGTACACTCCCTCGGCCCACACACACACACATGGACGATGCATGCATCCAGTATGTTGCCAGTTGAGCCCGTCGGCAGCCAATCCATGCCAGTTGAGAGCCAAGCACCTTCCATTCCCTTCCGCGCAACTTGCACGGCCGGTCCCGACGGGAAAGAGGAGTAGCGGATGAGGAATGAATCTGGACAGGTGCTTGTCTAGGTTCATTTCTAAAATGACAGTATTTTTGGGACGGAGGTAGCACACAAAGCTGGCTCACGTAATCCCCTAAAAAAAAAAGCTGGCTCACGTACGGACGAGCACGGCCACATTGTTTACGTGGGTAAGCTGAAGCTGTTTTGGAAAATAATTGGTAAAAACGGTTTTAATGATGGTTGTATAATAAATTATAGTATCTTTGTGGGGAGGAATTAGAAGAATTTTTTTTTTGCTCCGACTCTTTGTTACACAAACGGGTCCGGCTCCTTTAAGCTCCTTGTGAAGAATTAGTTATAAGAGTTTTTCTAATTTCACTTTCTAAATTATTATTTGAAGAGTTATTCGAGTAAAAATCACTTCCTATATATATTTCCACACTTCAACAGTTTTCTAGGCATCGCTCTCCATCTTTATCCAGCGAGAAATTTAAAACGGAGAAAATTTATATTTAGAGATTTAATTAAATAGATTCTTAAAGAGTTTTTTTTACCAAAGTTTCTATTCTTTTAAATGAGAAAAAATACAAAAAAAAATTGAGAGTTGCTCTAAGAGGCCTAAAAAATCGGATCAAACTCACTTGGCAGCGGCCCGTGCACAGCGCGGCCCGTGTTGGACTGCGTGGGACTCCGTAGCGTACTATAGACAGGAGCAGTCCACCTCGCGGCCGCCGTACTCTCCAAACCATTCTCTGTGGCTTCTCCCCTCCGCCTCCGCCACGGGCCTCCCCTCCCCGCCACGGCCTCCACTGCACACCGGAGTTTGATCTGCTCCGACGAACGCCGCCTACTATACATCGTATACTGTTCTAGCCCGGACCACCTCCCTGTTCAGATTAGTACTAGTTTTATTTGATTGGATTAGATCGAGACTCTCACTCCCCTGTTCAGATTAGTACTAGATTTTACTTGATTGGATTAGATCGGATTGGTCGGGTAGGCAATTGCTGCAGATCGGGTTGTGTCTGCAATTGCCGCAGATCGGTTCGCTTAATTTACTGATGAGTTCGTTCGGTTCGCTTAATTTACTGATGGGTTCGCTTAATTGCTTGCAGTAGATTAAAGGAGCTCCAGCTTTCGGAGGACAACCCAGTTGCCTTCGAAGATCAAAATGACGGTGGTGAAGGTGGAGGAGGTGGCGAAGGTGGACGAGAACCCTGCGCTGGTTGGAGAGAACCCTGGGCTGGACGATGAGGCCGAGGCGGGGTACGTCTCGCCCGACGACGAGGACGGCGACGACGAAGACGACGAGACCGACAGCGACGAGGACTACGAGATCCCCAGCGGCCACGGCGTGCCCGAGCTGAGGAAGGGCCCCTGGACGCCCGACGAGGACAAGCGTCTCAAGAGCTACGTCGAGGCGCACGGCGAGGGGAACTGGAACAAGGTGCAGCGGAACGCCGGGCTCAACCGCTGCGGCAAGAGCTGCCGCCTCCGCTGGGCCAACCACCTCAGGCCCGATCTCAAGAAGGGGCCCTTCGACGCTGAGGAGGTCGACAATATCATCAGGTTCCACATCATGTGGGGCAACAAGTGGGCCAAGATGGCCTCGCATGTGAGTGCTGCGCTCGCCGTTCTCCTGCAGTTTTCCTGCTTCCTTCCTGCGTTGGTTCTGTTGTCTCGTGGTAACATTTAGATTAGTTCATAGAAAGGTCGGGAATGACATGCTTTGGTGGAGTGGGTACGTGCTCCCTGCATCCTGGAATCGATCTGCTCTGCGAATCCATCTCATAGAATTATGTTGATTTCCCCCAAATATTGCATGTATTTGCCACATGCTAACATATTCAGAGTTTCACGTTCGCTCGTCTGAACTTTGACTGAAACTGGCTGGAAAACACTGTTCCTGCTGAATTGTTATGAGAGAAAAACACTGTTCCGGCTGAAAAAACAAGCCGAACAAGCCAAACTTTAAGACAAGCGAACGGGGTTCTGCATGCTCATTGCTCATGGCAAACTATTTGTTCCATTTGTTTCGATGTGCTCAAAAGATCACTTATTATGTTTGTATTACAGATTTATCAATCAATTATAGAAAGGTAACAGCATTAAGGCCTTGGCCCTAGCCTCATAAGGAAGTAATAATTATTGGATTGGTGAACTTAATTATTTTTTAATGAAACAGTGAACTTAAGTGCTAATTCTGATCTTGCAACTAGCATAGGCATTTTTTTGTTATTGTGGCCGTGAGAATGAAATTCTTTTATTAAACAAAATGAAATTAGGTAATGGACATCTTATTTTAATGCCTCTTGCTGATGATAGAATCATGAAGAATTTTTCGCTTCACTATTTTACCAAAGAAACAATTTCTCGGTTGCCTTATTACATTAGCTGCATTTGGGGCCCCTACCCACCCAACTGAAGCAATATAAGTAATTTCATTGGGTACTATAGAGCGCCAGAATATTATGAAAGTTAAGCCAAGCAATGTGATAAAATGTTGTCATCGATATGGTTAAACTGGCAAAACTTTAAATAATATGAAATTTTAATCCAGAGACTACTGAGCAATATATGTAGAAGCAGTTTCAACTTTTGAGGCTGCATTTTACAGGTGGACAGGATTGGTACAGTGCATTGAGAACTACTTTTTCTGGTAGCTAATGTTGGGTTCCATCTCTAGCCTAACCCAGCTTGCTTTGTAATAATAGGCTATCATGTTGGGCCTGTTGCCTTTCTGCTGTTCCTAGATGGCTTCATCAATTTCTATTTATTTTCCTTCACATTTTAGCAACATCTGCTCTGTAGTCATTATCCTCACCTTTGCATTTCTGCATAGACAATTCATAGTTTGCTATTTATAAGTTTGCCTTTTCCCCCTGCACTATCCTTTAATAGGTTACTTAGTACTCTGATATTCCCATATGCTTTAGAGCATGTGTAGTTATCATATCTTTTCACTCTTCCATGGTGGTCATGTACTTTTCAGGTTGTTTTGATCTCTTACCAGATATTACCTTACGTAAGCTTTAAAATGCCAGTGCAATTGTAGCTGCAGTTGCTTTTCAGGATACTACACTTGATGCTGATGTTCATCTTTCCTGTGTATTTTGATCATGGCACATGCCTCGGACCTTGGTAGCTGTTGCCTTACAAACTTGATATGCGTGGTCAAATATCACCTATTGGTTTACTTGTCCTTCTAAGGGTGTGTGTTAACAAATTGAACCTCTATCAGGTAAAGATTCTAAGAGCAGCTCCCGTGTTGTTGAAAATTGAACCATGGGCTGCACAACAGAACTTTGCACATTGGACGAGTTGACTACAGCTGTCAGGCAGAAATTGACCTCCCAACACTGTTCGATGCTAGGAATAAAAAAATCACCATTAGCGCTCACTGTTATTTCCCTATGGTTTAGTGCACTGAGGGGATAGACTTGAGGTCACCATACCTGGCTTTGGGGAAGGATGTCACTGTGTTCAGAGGTGTCCATCACACGTTGGGGATATGCGTGACCACGAAGATCTTGGGGCCTGTTCTACCCACCGCCCCATGAACAAAATAAGATCTAGATGAGGGTAAGAAATTGGTCAAAAAATTGTTAAGAACAAGAAGTAGCAAAACCTGCACAAATGCTGCTTCTCCTCTTCTGCTGTTCCCTCAGTTTCTTCTCCAGCCCCGAGTCCGACCCACTCAGAGCTGCAATCGCCTTTGCCAACCACACGGGAGGCGCCATCACTACTGCATGCGGCCTGCGCCCTCCGATGCCGTGGCAAGCATCACGCTGCCCAGCAGGAGCGCGAGCGTGGGCCACTTGAGTGCCGCACGGGAGTCGACCATGGCTCTCCAAAGCACGTCAATTGATTGGGTTTGTGACTGGACAAGTGGGTAGAGGAAGAATGGGATTCGATGAGAGTATGAGAGCGTCAAGGTGCAGACGGAGCCACGTGAGGAAGAGAGAATTTATTTTATTGTGTATGTATGCGGTTCCCACTAATCGGATGATGCACTGGGGCTATTGAACAAAACATCTGTTCGTCTCACGTGGAAATGACGGTTCGTTCCAGCACTGAAGCTGCCCTAGTATGCATTAGTTGATGAGTACATGGAAGGGGAACTGTTGATGTTGCATGCATGATTGTATGGTAGATGTTGATTGTAGTTAAACGTGGACAATAGTCACTTTATATAACTATTCCATGGCTAGTTATGGGTAGTAGATGTTGAATTTTGATGCTACTTTTGACTGTTCTGATTTTATTTGTGTTGTTTCTATTGTTTGTTTTTTGAAGGCATTTCTTGTTAAAATCTTTTTTTAATCTTCTCTCACAGTAATTGTTTCTTAAATTTGAAAATTATTTTTACTAATTCAATTGGGCCTTTTTAGACACTAATGTATTGTGTTTATTTCAGTTGCCTGGTCGCACAGATAATGAAATTAAAAACTATTGGAATACCAGATTGAAGAGGAATCAAAGACATGGTTTGCCTATCTATCCAGAATATATGCTTTCTCAGGTTACACATCCGCATCAAGACATGAACTGTGAAACTCCTGGAGAGTCACATGGCAAGAAACAGTTAAATGAGTATGCAAAAGAAAAAGTTGTTGACATGCATGATCTTATAGATGAGGTAATGACATTTCAGCACCTTGACTACGATAAGGATCCCGTGGTTCCAACAAAACCTTTGAAACGCTATGCATCTACTGTTAGTCTGCAAATTTCTGATGAGACTGAGAAAACCTTTTGTTCCACTGATTTGAACTATGTATTGACAAAGAGTCAGTCGGTGCCTCTTGGTAGTGCCATTGCCAGTGGCTATCCAGTCGAGCTCCCTTCATTCCAAAGTTCCAGCTTTACCCTAAGTAATGACTGGTTGCTTCAATGTCCTTCGGCTTCTATGGAACAACAGATCATTCAATCTCCAGAATCCATCTCGTCACAAACCACTGGTATGCTGGGTGCAAATGTTCACAACAGTGATATACTTGATGACCCCACAAAGTCTGGAAGATCTTTTGAAATACCGATTCAATGGTATACCCTATGATGCATTCTTCTTCAGTCTTTGGTAACTCTGAACATGAGGGCTGTCCTATTACTAAAATTCAAGCTTCAAACTTATCTTCAGGTATAAGTGTGCTTAAATGCTTTCTATCATCACAATATCGTGAATTTGCTATGCAAGGCTTACTTTTGTTGTTTATAGGTTCAGATGCTGTTTTCAATCTCGGCCAGTGTTATCCAGTTGCTAGTTTTTCTGATCCTGGGATCCCTGATACACCACTAGAAGCAAGTTTCTATACTACACCAGAAGCAAGTTTCTTGAGTGATACTACACCACTAGAAACAAGTTTCTTGAATGATAATTTGAAGGACCAGTCACATCTCTACTGGCAGGAACCTAAGCTGTTGACTGATGGAGGCCAATGGTTTGATCCTTGTCACAAGCTTGACTTCCCAGGTCCATGAGCAGCAGTTCAATCAGGGTCAGGGCAACATATTCTTGTCCTCCTAGCATTTTGTTTGAAGGTCACAGTCTTTCGTAGTTATATTTGTTTGGTATAAAGACATACCTTGAGTGCTTGAACTTCAAATTCATTGACGTGCTGCGACCATCTAAACTCAATACTCTTTGATGTGATGTGATTTGTTGGGACATAATCAGTGCCTCACCAGCCGTATCTTCCATGCTCCTTAATTGCTACAACGGTTATGCTTCCTTAATGGTGATTATTTCAGTTCTGTATGCTGTGGATTCAGCTAACTTAGCATCACCCCCATATCCGAGCGAGCGAAATGTTTACAGCCACTTGAGCACAGCTCATGTATAAATATGCATCTAAACCATGCGATCATGTTTATATCTTTTCCATCCGAGTTATCAGTGCCATAAGATCCTGAGTTATACTCAAATGGATCACCTTTAAAATTTATATGCTGTTTTGTTCCGCTTGAGCGCTTGAGTCTGTCCGAACAGTTGGTGTCTCACATTTTAGTAATTGTAGCTATGCTGGCAATGCAGCTACGTGCAATGTAATCAGGGGAGTTTCTTTTTTACCCTTTGTACTGAACTAACTTTTCCTCGAAAAAAAAAAAAACTTAAAATAAAAGGAAGGCGCGTCAACCTGCTTTCATCAACCAGCATGGCCGTAACCGGCATTTGCTTCACAAAGTGGGCAATAACTTCACATTTCTTTTGTTTCTCATTAATTTCACTTCTCATTGCAGATTGCACTTGCACCAAGGCATGCCCATTTTTTCGTTTTGTTTTAATCCAGTTGCCTAGATCACCCAAATCAAGTTTTCATATAAAAACACCAAGTACAATACCTAATGTTCTCATAAGCTTGACGGGAATAATATATTATAATTGCTTAACATAAGGACGCTGCCATGTTTCATGATATGATATTCAGGGTACACCATTGTGCTCACGAAATGTAACGCTTTCAAGAACCTAGAGCTTCTGCACATCTAAAGTTCCAAATACATTTAAGCGATTAATCTGAGTAAAACAATGGACTCCACAGGCCTAATCATAAAGTCCTTCTTGCTCCCAAGCGTCCACAAGCAAATCTACCATTTCCTGCGAGTATAAGTTCAGCTTAAGAAAGTTTTGAGGCAAACAAGACAAGTAATAAAGCATGGGATCTTACACCAAGAGGTATCGGTTGGGAGAATGGCTTATTGCTTCCTAGCAGGCTCTCATACGTTGTGTTCCAACTGTACACCATTAAAAGAAAATTGCAGATTATGGAGGAAATCTAATCTGTTTTTGGAACACTGATGCACCTACTTCACTGAAGCAAGCACCGTGACAATTTTTCTTACAAGCTATAAAGAATTATCAAATAACATAATGTTATTTTGGTTCGCAATAGGAAACTCAAGGGAACCCACTCGTTAAGGTGTGATGGAAGAAAATCACAAAATATTCACCTTAATTTTGGTTCTCCAGGCTGTTGAGATCTAGAATGCTGTTTTTTGCTTCCAACCCACTGTTGTCTGGTCTGGTTCCAGAGCATAAGACCTGAAAAATAGGCAGTATGAAAATTCAGAAAAGATCAACAAAGAACAAAAATAAATGGAAAACATTCACTTCTTAGTAACGACTGAGCATGCTACAAAATAGGGTTCCCTCTTCTTCTTTTTTGGAAAAGAAAACGCTACAAAGTAGTTTAGTCATCAATATTTTTAAGGAATCTTGCCAAATCACTATAGTTGTGAATTTACTGTCAGTAAGCTCTCTATAAAGTATTATTATAAGTGTATAATGCTGACTCCATAGATGTTATTGCTGATTTACATAACCATATTCCCACAGATGCGTTTGCAGAACCTGAGAATCATCTCACGTCAAATTTGAAACTGATCAGGATCTGAACATTAAGCCATCTAGAACAGAGAAGTGTACTTCAACAAGATAGAGGCTTTTGCTGGTTTACGTCATTGGTTTTCCACAAATTGATATGCAGAATCATCCAATGTCAACTTTGAGACAGATAAGGATTAGAACATAAAGCAAAGACCTTTTTCAATCATAGTTTGTAGCTTTTACTGAGAAGTTAGAACCTCAACCACTATATATTGAAGAGCACAAACATTGGACATTCAAACTTGGTTTCCATTCACATGGATGATGGAGCTCTAACAATCAGTCAGACACTTGAACTATTTGACAGTAACAGGATGGATCAATAAGGCAAAGAGGAAATCAAATGAATGAATTCACCTTGATTCACAAACTCATTCGGGTTGCTGCTACTTCCCGCCACATGCTGATCGCTGGACTGAGCGACCGTGCTGATCGAAGACATGCTCCTCTGCGATTGGATCCCGCTGTTCTCCATCTCATGAGCACTCGTGCTCCAAAAATCCTCCGAAAGGCTAGCCTTCCTTACCGAGCGCCCCTGGATCCTCAACCGTTTGGAAGGCTCGTCTACTGCTGTTATTGGAGTTGGCTTAGCACAGCATCCAAAGCAACCTCTGCTCTGTAGCAAACCAGGATCGGCCAGTGATTGATTAGCACCAGTATTCCAGAGCCCAGATAAGCTACGATGTACTCTATTCTTGTACTACATACATACAAAAGAGAAAAAGGCCAAAGTTATGACCATTTGCGACCCGATAGATGGTTGCAGTAAACTACCAAACAACTATCACTCCGTGAACTCAGCAGCGAGAGACTGAATATTTCCATACAGAGGCCCAGTACCAAAGTCAGACTAAAATGCCTGTCTTTTATACTGGAAATAGACCAGGCAGATTAAACAACAGTAAGATACTGCACCTAACGCGACGGAATCAACTGGCTGAACAGGAAAAGTGAGAAATGGATAAACCAAACCAGCCTACCAATCAGAATCATTGGTAGGCACGAGAACAGCACGAGCCCAACAATCTGAATCAGGGAGCAGCAAGCATATATGTGCCCCGAACAGAAGCATAGAAATTTGAGAACCTCGCTATCGCATCGCACGCGGGGATCCTAAAACTCCCCACGAGCCTCACGGCGGCCACTACACCGTGACGTGTATGTACCGAAGAATCACGAGAGGATGGGATGGGAAGGGAGGGCGGCGGGGCGCACGGCGCACGACGCACCCCATGCAAGCGACGAGGCGGCGCACCCAGGTGGAGAGGGACCTGCAGCTCAGCAGCATAGCATCCGTCCGGGCCCGGTACGCGGCACGGGGGGGGCCGGTGCCGCGTCGGAGGAGGCCGGCGGTGACGCGACGAACCCTAGCCCCCCGGCCCCTACGGCGAGAGGGGAGGCGGGGAGCGAGGAATCGGAATGGGATTCCGCCGTGGACGTGGGTGTCGGGCTGGGATTGGGGGAGGGGAGGGGATTAGGAATCTACGAGGGAGGATTCAGCTGAGGCGGCGGCGGCTTTACCTGCCCATGCTGCTGCCACATGACATGATGATGCGCCGGGACGGGAGTGGACGGGACGAGGCATTTCGCTTTGACTGACGCCTTGGAGAGTTTTTCTTTTTCTTTTTCTTTTTTTGAAAAATGACGCCTTGGAGAGTTGGAGGTTCCAAAATATTTGGCTTCGCGTCCACACAAAATTCCACGGTTCCTCCTGGCGCGTTGGGAGGGAATTACATAGGCTGCGGGTACGGGAATTACTAGTAGAAATTAAAATGAGGATTTGAATTTTAGTGGCAGTACTCTGTTTAGTTCGTGTAGAGAAATAAGAAGGAAAGTTGAAGAGGCAATTTATATCTTTAGTTTGGTGTGAAGACTTGGGGTAGAAATTTATATTGCAAGTCATAATGAATGGTGAGGATATATCCATTTTCAAACACAATTCCCACTCAATTACGGGCACGTTTGGTTCTTCTGCTCAGGCTCGCCTAGCCTCGCTGAGCTGCTGAGCCAGTGAATGCGTTTGGTTCCCTTGCTAGTTATCTCGGTTCCCGTGCAAGCTATGCCACAATCGGAGAGCGCATCCAAAGGAGAGTTCGTTGGCATCCATCTCGTTCTCGGCTGGGACTTTGGCGAGGTTTTGTGAGTCCGTGCCGACGGGGTGAGCGAGGTTTTTGGAGTCCATGGCGGCGGGGTGAGGCAAGCGCCGCTGAGAAACCAAACGCGCCCTACTATTCCTCCCCAATGTCAGTTGGCCGTCTAAACTCTCATTTCCTATCTCACCAAACCTCACATTCCTACAAAAACAAATACACTCCTACCTCCAAACTTCAATACACTCGTTCCTATTACCCTCTCTATGTTAATGCTTCAACTCACCTCTCCCCTTATCCAAATGCATTTAAAGTAAGGTAAAACAATAGTTTGCACTTAAATTTGTTGACTTTAAAAAAATCCATATTTTTCACTATTTCTCAACATTGCATACGCCCTCATATGTCATATATGTCCTGTGATATAGGAATAGTTTTGTTGAGCCTTACGTTCAAGAAGGAAAAGGTGCATATGCTATTTATACTAAAAATCGTAGCTTTAGCTAGATTCTCTCTAGAATAAGGTTGAAATTTCCTATTATTGATTCTGAACCTAACATTCTTGTGAGGGGCTCGGTTTGTCACTTAATCCATATCCTCCTTTATTTTAAAGAGTATATCATCCTTTGTTTTATGTCATTTTTTCCTAAATCAAACTTCTCAAATTTTGACCGCATTTATAATAATGCAAACTTAAATTATTTCAATTGATCCACCATAAAATTAATTTCAATTAATGTAAACTTAGTGATAGTCACGTATTCCAAATATCTAGTGTGGTATGATATAAAAACATGTACTCGACACCTGTAGACTGTATACAATAGGGAAATGAACTGTGCAACCACACATCAAGTTTGAGCAACCCATTACTTAACATAAATAAAATAGAAGTAGCTTTTGCTGGTTAAAAAAAGAGAGGTTAAGGGCCCGTTTGGCACGGCTTTGGCTCATGAAAAAACAGCTCTGGTTCTGGCTCATATGGAAAAGCAGCTTTTTCTGGC